AGATATTTGAGCCACACACAGACAGCCACACACACACACACACACACACACACACACACACAGACAGAGATTTCTTGCTTTATAGATATATTGCCTTTACTTTGGTAAATGATTTGAATTCATATGCATATGTATGTCCTATGGCTGTAGTGATGGAAAGTATACCTTTGTGTATGTGCCAGTCAGCCAATTTCAGTCAATGCAATCACAATTCATTCAGTCACTATGTGTTTGATGCTATAAACACAGGCATCCAGTTTCCAGTGACTATGTGTCATATGTGTTTATACTGTCAACAAACAAAAAAAGAGATTCAGAGATTATTCTTTTGATTTCCTCACATATGGGCCTTTTGCATATCATAATGCTTGTGATGTGGTTGTGTGTTGTGCTGCTTTGATGTTTGAGAGAAGGGGGAATAAAATGGAGAGACAGAGCTGAGTCATAGAGAATGAACACATAAACCCATGACATGTATTTCATACAGTCTGTGTTTTATTGTATTGAGAGGAGGAGAGGACTTATCTAATACTCATTCACTGCAAAGACACGTCTATCTTTACATGTCTATTAATATGTTGTTTTGTCAATTGTTGTGTCTTAAAAAATATATTTTCTTAAAGTAAGTGAAAAAAAAAGTGGTTGGGGAGAAACTTGATCTGATCCAAATGAGTTTGTTTGACCTTTTCTGAAAGTCTTTAAACAAAACCAGATACTAAGACAAATTAAAAATGGAAAAATTATACTTAATCCCAGAAAATTATTGTATAGCAAACAGGTGAAATTATACCACTTGGTATTTTTTAAGTTGTTCTACAAAACCCCAAAAAATCAACTCAGATAATAAGACAAATGTACTCAAGAATGGAGGGTGGAGGTAGTTGCACTATTCATTACCGATTACCTGCAGAACAGCAAGCAGTTGAGTGACCTGTTCACAATCCAACCATTATTTAAGAAGGTTTCATACTGACACTGTCAGAACACTTGTAATTCCAGTTTTAGTGATTTTCATGTTTTAAATTAAACTGAGTTATTGGTGGAAGGAAGTTCGACAAGCCAACAGTCAATGAGACAGTTTTAAAAAACAACTTGGGAAACGCTTGATAAATGTGTATGGGTCACAATAAAATGTATAAAATGTATAAAATGTATTATACAGCTTATTTATACATTTTATACATTTTTTATTTTGCATTTTTTATATTGCTTTTTTATATATATGTCTAGGTTGTTCTCCT